TTTTGAGCATAACATGACTGTTAGTTTTATGTAAACCTTGCTAGCTGTATTCTCCCCATTGCCACTGATTCTTTCAAAGGGATAACACTATTCCATCTAAGTACTCCTTAGAAATAAAAGAGGCACCACTAATGTTCTGAATAACATTGTAAGTGGAAATCCCTATAAATGTTTTCAGCTGTTCAGTGCCCTTCAGTGTCATAACTCAGTGAATAAAATTACTTGTTCTGTCATCAGCTTCCTGTGCATCTGCTAAATCATGTTTTTTGATGTTTTATAGGAGTGTGCATATAGGAGCAAAGTTCTGTGTATAAGTTGCCTCCTGTACAAGGAGGCATTCTAGCAGTTAATTGCTTTATGGCAAACAAAGTATAAAGGGCTCTAAGATATTAACTTTTAGAGGTCCTTGCACAGATGTTCAGCAGGTATTACTTGGCAATACTGATTTTAGTAGAAGAGAATGATTTATACCAATGAAGGAAATTTAGCCTGTTCTCCATTCCTGTTCTACATATATGGAATGTCCTGAGCAAGTGTCCATTGATAAAATCAGGCTGCTTTGTTTTCATTCACTTAGTACAAAGCAAGTGTCAGCCTAGTTGCCCAGTCTGGTTATGAGGGCTGCAGTGCTGCCATCTCATACCAAGCAAGAGCATGCCACTTGGTCAGGATCAAAATACTGAAATCCCTTGTTATTTTGTCTAACAGATTTGGAGCTAATCCTCCTATTTACTCTTCAGTCTTACTGTAATTAATCTATTTCTCTCTCTCCTTTTTTTTTTTTTTTTTTAAGTAGCATTTGGTGTCTGAGATTAGCAGAAAAGGAGCTGTGGCCATGCAGAAGCACTTGAGATGAGTGGGGCTGCTGCTTCTGTAGTCAGTAGGTTTGAAACTGAGCTGACAATAGGAGTTAAGTGAAGCTATGTGTCTTATTAGATTTCTCTTTTTACTGGGCACTCTCTCTCTGTTAAAAGAAAATTCCTAGCACATTTCCTTCACTCTCTTCAGCTTAATGTCCAAGTGTCTTTGTACTGGAGGCTACAGCATTAATGCCTGCAAAGTTGTTCCCCAGAGGACTGAATTCCTCTCTCCACGTAGGTTAGCATATAACAAAACTTGAGATAATTTTATTTAGAATCAACTGTGATGTCTATTTCAAAAGTTTTTTCATAGTTTGTGAACAGAGTAAATCCTAGCTCAGTGCCTCACTTGTTTGCTAGTCAGTTGGTCATTGGCCATCGCACTTAAGCAGTGTTACCCTGTTTATGCTTCTGTCATGGTAACAGACTAATGATACACTCTGTTCTTTTGTAGGTTCTCTGAGATCAGCAGATACACAGTTACGTAAGAACAAAAACTAATATTGTGCTTGAGAGTAAGAGTTGTCTCCAGGTAAAGCTGAAGGATCCTTCATACCTCTGAAGTATCAAGATAAAGATGACTTGGTCAAATTATTCTGAAACTACCTAGCAGTCATATTTACTTGCAAGAGTTTCAGAAGTAGCTAACAATTCTGCACATTTCCACTACAATTAGTCTACTTTGGAAAATCTTAAACTGTGAACTTGCAGTTGTAAAAGAGCTTGAGACCGAAGAGATCGCTAAACAGGACCTACTGTCTTTGCAGTAGAGGAACCATGTAGTTTGTACACGTGTGGTCTTAGAAAGTGTTTACCTGTTAATTGGTGAGTTTAACAGGTTTTAGAAGTGGATCTGCACTACTATTTTTTTATGTGTTATTTCCTGGAAACCATTTTAAATGAAGAGAAATGGTAAATCTACAGTTTGTTAGCCATAATTATGTTTGTCTCTATGCTTGACATGAAATGTGTGTTACACATTTGCTAGAGAGAAAAATATAATGCTTTGAGATACACTGGGGATAACCTTGTTTCTTCTGCCAAGTCTGTAGATGTATATTTGCTGATGTCTGTGAGTGTGACTATCAACTCAGGATAATGTAGGGCAGCTCAGGAGGCCTGCAAGAAAATAGCTCCATTCAAAAGCACAGAAGAAATATGTGAGTGAATGCAGCTTCGTGAGTAAGGGACAGGCAGAGAGAACTGCATGCTCTAGACAATACAGCCATTGATGTCTAACATCTCCAGGTGAATTTCAGATGTTAACAAAGAGGTGAGTTCCTTCTGCTTCAGTCAAGGAAAGAGTCCACTCTCCTCTGAGTACTGATACAAACCAGACTCCAGCACCTGAATACAGCCAATGTCACATCCTCATGGCATGGTGTGAAAGTCACAGAACGGGGTACGATTAACTTTGGTGCAGAAGACCTGCCTAAGCATGTGCACCATATAATTCTCAGCAGAGCAGCAGTGCCAGGTTTATTCAGCTAGTAGTGAAGATCAATGCAGAAAAAGGATGAATTATTTACTCAAAATTAAAAGCTCTGTGGGCAGCAGAGCTGGCCTTATGGTTCAGGGCATTTGAGAAGACAAAGCGTAAACAGTCAGGCAAAAGACTCACGTATTGCAAGTCCAGGCCCTTTCACTCTAGGGATCATGCTACTCAGCCTTTGTTCCCTATCGTTTCTTCATCACTTAATCTGCATGTTACTTCTTAGGCTTAAAATAAGCTAAATAAGTCACTTTATTGCACTAGTTTTAGCCCAGAAAGTTGATAGCCAGTGTTTTCCAGGGATCGTATCTTCCCTTGAAGAGAGCCTGTCTTGCTAGATGCTATTCAGGGGGCTCAGCCTCTTCTGCCTACTTTCAGATCTCGATGCATCTCAGAAGTTTTGGGACAGAGAAGTCTGCAGTACTGTGTATCTTACTAGAGGCATTTATCCTTTGAGAAACAGTAGTGTTTGCCTGAGTCAAAATTTTCTGATTATGTCTGACCTTAACTCCCCTAGTCCCAGTAGCAGCTGCAGGGTGTCTGCTTTTCCTCTGAAAAGGCAAAGGAAGCACTTCTCTCCAGAGATTAGAGAGAAAAAATCCTGCATAGGTGCTTGTGCCCTTTCTCCTTTGCGTGCTTGTTTGCCTCTAGTGGACACAAGGAAGACTGTCAGGAACTAAGTCAGAACTAGTAAGGCACAACAGCACAACAGAAACCTCCTCATGTAAATTAGCTTTGACTCCTGTGTCAGAAGGAAAACCAGATGTGATTGATTTCACTTCATCCACTGTTGTCTTCTTGGTCTTTAGGCTGTTGTGAGGAATATGGAGAGCAAACACCCAAGCATCACAAAGGTCAGGGTAATGAAAAGGTCATCCAGAGTCACTCCTTCCCTTTTTGAGGTCCGTGTCTGGCAGTGTGGTCAGACTTAAGGTCCAAAATGAAAGAACATCTCATTCATATGCATTGGTTTTCCCCATGTGCATAAGCACTTGCTCACTCAACGTGCCACAGTAGCTGAAGAAAGAACAGAAGCATGAGGGAAGATTCACAAGCACTGTGAAATGAACATGGAAAAGGACAGCTTGGGTTTTGAGTCAGTTTGGATAGGTGTGAGGAATTGGATTGGGTTGGCAGTGTTTCATTTTTATTGGGGGAAAATGTGACTTCAAGCCCAGACACCAGGTTTCTCTGAATTTGTTCCCGAGTTAAAATATTGAAGAGGGAAGTGAAATCTTGTTCCTTTATAGGTTCATTAGACAAGTAATAAGAAATACTTTATCCACTTTGCAGCATTACGAATCCCATTTCCACACATCTCTGGTTTGAGAAATGCATCTGTGTTAATAACACTAACTTCTAGAGGAGGGAACGCAGAGACTATGTCTTGCTGGAATCTTTTTGTTGTTATTGGTTTGGTTTTGTTGGCTTTTTTTTTAACCTTTCCCTTTCTTTCTTAGACTAGCAGAAATCATCTTTTAATCATCAGGAAAGATGGCGTATTCCCAGAGGGGCAAGAGGGGGGTGTTCCTATTGCTTTTTCTGAAGTTTACCCCTAGAATTATTCCTGTTAGTCTTTGGCCAGATTTTTATGTTCTTTGGTTTTTGAAGATCCTGTGTTTTGCAAGGCATAACCCTGGTGCTTAATGCTCTAGACTATCTCTTCACTGTAATTTAACAAAGATACAGACTAGATAATAGCAGTCTGTTCCAAACACAAATCATATGTGGTCAGTTCAGAGAAGCAGTTTATTGCCACTGGTTTAGCCTTCTTTGCAAGAAATATATGTAGTTTGTGTAGACCCATATACACATAACACAGCCTCTTGTAGCTATACTATTTCAGCACTGCAGCTGTTAGCACTTGTAAGAGAGCCAAATACACAGAGCGGGATCTGTAATTCATTCTCTTCTTGAAAAGTCCCTTACTTGTTGGGAATGAGGCCCTTCTGCATATGACAAAGGGTGATAGAAATCTAAGACCTATTAAGGAGTAAACCAGAATTGATTAAGGAATAACCTCTGTAATCTAAAGTTGTGAACTGATACTCTGAAGGGCCTAGTCCCCAACTGAATAACTGAAAGAACTGGCTGGATTTGGAAATGGTGGAGACTGCTGCCAGTAGAACTTAAACAAAGCCAAAGCCTGGCCATTTCACTGAGGTGTGAAAGGAGCACAGAGGACTGACTTAAACACCAAAGCAGGATTTGCTGAATGTTTAACTGTGTGAAACCTGGACGCACATATTTTTCTTTTAATATGGCTGTTACATTTTTTAATAGTCTGCCTTTGATCAAAGTTTTGAAATGGTGTCACAATCAATTGTAGCAAAATCTGGGGTTGGGGAGGTAACGTTTGTTGGTTTGTTTGTTTTTTAACAAAGGTATCCATTTGGCCTACAGAAGGTTTATTCCTTTTAGCCTCGTACTTGAAGTTTTATCATCCTATTATTCCAAGAATGATAAACTGCTGAAGGCAGTGTGAAGGGTGAAACATCATAGCCCAGAAGAGGCCAGTATGTATCTAAATTATGGATTACTTGAAGTCTTATATGTCCAGTGTAAAGGGATCCAGGTATCTTCCTAGGAATGCAACTATCTGCAGGACTTCCTGTGAGCTGAGGAACACAGAAGGGTCACCAACAGCCTTGAAAGCTTCTGTCTTTTTGTAGGAATGATCAGGACCTTAGCAGCTTGGGAAAAAGAAAAAGGTAAAATACATGTCAGCATATATTCTCAAGAATGTCCTAATACTTCATATTCTATGGCTGTGGGCAGCCAGGGTAGAAACTGGCTGTGTGAGATGAATAACTTTAGTCTCATCTGCTTTGCTTTTCCATTCCTTCCTTTCCAAGAAAGGAACTTTGTGAAGTATCAGTCTCAAGTATAGCTCCTTGAGGCACTTAAAACCAAGAGTAAAAGAGCTGCGAAAAGAATGTTGTAGGGAAGATTCAGTTACCTATAAAAGAATTAGTCAAACTTGTCAAACTCTGCTTTCTGTAACCAAAACTAAAATTACAATCCACTTGCACCAAGTCTTTGTTGTGTGTACTTCGGTGGTACTGACAAATCTTTTCTTTGAGATCTGTTTTGCCCTGTAAATGTGCACGGATTCTGTTAATAGCATCGATAGTAAGTACAGTGTCATCACCCCGTTATGTGTATATATGTGTTATGAGTGAAGTTAATCTTTCTGCAGAGTGCCTGTGGTATATCTGTGTTACTAAGCACAGCAGTTTGTATTATCATTTTGTTTTCTTTCTTGCCCACAGTCAAGGCATGGGCACATTGAGTCACAGTGATGGGAAGTAAGAGTGTCGCATCATTCAAGCACAACCTTTTGGACTCTCGAAGTTGGTTCCAGTCTCATCAAGAAACAGGAACTCTTGTAATTTGACAAGGCTTCCAAAAGCTCATCACTTACTGTTAAGGGCAATTTTTCGAGCACAGTGCTTGCTTTCCTGACTGAAGGATAATGAAAGGTAATAGCCCAACCATTTAGAAAATATCTGTTTCTTACCAGCCATTTCTGCTTCTTAGCTGGCACAGACTTCTGGATCTTAACTGTAATATTTTCATGTTCAGAAAAATCTGTGGCCAAGGATGAAAATTTTGATTGTGCAAAAGAAATTAGGAGTAAAGGGAATTCCATTTTTAAGATGAAAGGAGGAACTGTTAAAATGGTGGTCCTTACTGTATACTCCTGTTCTTGTTTCTGCAAAACTTGTGATCAAATGCTTTGGGGAAGAGTCTGGGGCTGGAAGAGTTTGACCTTTAATGCATATGTAAATAAGACTTTCAGTCATGTATAATCTCTCCCATACAACAGACCTGTGACTGTCCAAAGGGACAGAAAGATCACATGAGTCTTTATTATATATCTCAAAAAATCACAAATCATTCCTGTCACTGTGCAGAGTGCTGCTAATGAACAAATTTCATTCCCAAAGTAGTATCTGTGATGGATGTGAGGTTGTAAGGAGTCCAGTAAGTAAAGTAAAACAAGGTTACTCTAATCTCCTCCATAAAGCTGACAGGAAAAGAAACCATGTATTTAAAGTGAAAGTAGACAAAGTAGGTAACAGGCCTCTTGTATTTCACACATTCATTTGTTAATTCCAAAGTTTCTTCTTGAATTTTAGGAGACAAAGCAATATCATGAGCTAAAGTTCAATGTAAACCAAAGCCTGATGTAACATGGAAAAGAGAAAGCGGATACCAGTGGAATGTATTTTAAGAAGTATGTGCCAAGGTAACACGCCTTTTATGATTATTGCCATTAGCTCTTTCTTTTTTATTTTTTTTCATTTTTTTATTCCCACAATAAAAACTGTAAAAAAGAAAAAATATATTCTTCCTCAGCAGTAATAAAAATGTCCCTGTTTGCAGTCAGTCTACTGCAATAATTCTACTTTAAAATAATTTTTTCAAACTCTCTTTTATTTCCAATCTGAATGCTGTTTCTGAGATGATACAGATAACTACAATCGTGTTGTATTCACCGATGCCATCTACACTGTCCCCTTGATCATAACTAAAGGTAAGCTCTAGAGGTCTGGCTTGACTAGTACCTAATAAATGAGCTTGGAAGAACTATGAAGTTAGACAAGATGGAGAGTCTTCGCAGGACAGATTTGCTGCAAGTAGAGTGGAGTGAAGCAGGATGAAAGACTCTACCCCCTGCTGACTTTAAAATGAGCACTGTGTGTCTTGCCCTTTGCATCCACTGCACAAAAAGAACATGTTTCCAAAGGTGCAAGCATTATGCTTATGGGGAAGAGCCTCTGAGTTCCCTGTACTCAACGAAAAAAAAAATTATATGAAGCATATGTGTATGAAATACATGGCACCACCAATGTGAATGGAAAATACCTCACATCTAGTCTTCCTGTGGCTGTCAAACTCTGTTATGCTGAGAGTGATTGGTAATCTGCATACTCATATACATGAGGCTGTGTGTGCAATGTCAAGATCTGAAACAAACATTTGATGGTTAAAATTGGTTGTCCAAACTGTGACCTACTTTCTTTTCTTATATGTATTTGCAACATTCATGATTCACTGGTCTTTTTAGGCTCAAAGAGAAAGATAATACTGTACAAGTCATAAATTCACCCTCAATTACCAGAGTACCTATGTGAAAACACCTTTCATAAGACAGCAGTCTTCAGTTTGAGGCCTAGTTATTACACATAATAAGCCAAATTCTCCACTGATGTCAGTGTGGTGGGGCGGTTAGTCACTAGTGACTTTGGACCAGTTTTAGTGGAGAAGATGGGAATGATAAAATGCACCTTGGCACCGTTCTTTTAGTGGAAGTGAACTTTGCCTAAACAATGTTCCAGGACTTGGAAGTGATAGGCCTGGGCATAATGACAACGTTCCTTATTCATCTGCATATGCTTCCTACAACCAGCCAAATGTGTGTCTACTGTTTGAAAGAACCCAACCACGTTAGATACAGAAAACTTGCTTTAAATCAATGCCAGGTAAAACTGATATTGCCCATCTGCCTTACATTTCATTGCAGTAGGACCAAGCTTTGCCATAAGTACCATTTTTAAAATATAGTACTTTTTAATAAAGCCTTTAGCAAGGCTTGGGCACAAGCTATTTGGTAATACGGTAGATTACCTTATTTAAGCCAAACAGTGATCCTGTGCCATGCACTGCAGCACTTTTGATGGATAACGCAGGAAGATGTCAGCCCTCCTTCAGCTTGCCAAATGGTTCCAGCTATGATTATAGAGGTTCTCTGCAACCATTTGCTTTGCAATGACCTGCAGCAAAGAACAGATATCAGAGCTAAGACAGAAGAACTGAACAGAAAAGCAGTGTGTCTGTTGGTAATTAGTTTTGTGGGGTTATGTGCAGCTTTCACTGAAAATAATGAACTGTAGCTTAATTTCCACTGAAGTTGACGGAATAAATCGATCTTTCTGCTATCACTCCAGAAAGAAATCAAAATTACTTCATTGATGTCTTGCTATTTAGTGTAGGAAATTTGAGATCAGGAACTAAAAGTAGAGTGAATGTTTATCTTTTTGGTATTTTAACAGGTGGGCCCCTAACTCCTGACAGAACTGAAACCACTTAAAGACAGCAGCGTTTGAAAACCCCCTGCCAAATAAAGTGCAAAACTTCACTTAGAATTTCAGCAGGAAAGAGTTGAAGTTTGACGATAAATGTGAAATTATCACATCTGATGATGGCTTGACCCACACTGCGAAAACTAAGAGTTTTCAGCTCAGTGACTTTGAAGAATCCAGTGTTGAGACTGGAGATCTAGTGCTGAACACTCTGCTCTTCATAAATAATGCAAATTAAGTATCTTTGGGCAGTTAGTGGATCAAACACAAGATAGTGGATTTGAGCTGCAAAATCCATAAGGCTAAAATGCAAAACCTCAGAGACTGGGCTGAGAAAACTGGAAGCCCCAGTCTCATAAAGCTAGTATTTGGACTAGCAAGCAGAGGAGCATCAGGACCTTTTCACACTGGAAGTCCCGAGCCTAGAATATCTGCTGCACAGAAGCCTATGTTATAACTTGCAAAAGCCAATCCATTTATTTTGATCTATGAAGAGCTTACTGGTATGTGCCGTTTTATTCTTGACAGCCCCTTGCCCTTTTCCAGGGGTTCTAATTCAGTTTGTCAGTAATCTTAAGAACACCCAAGCAAAAAAGAAGGGAGAAGCCTGGCTGGAGTGTGTACCGGCTTCTGAAGATGTCAGCCTGAAGAGGATGAAGAACAGACGAGTGATTGAAAGGTCTCCAAAGTACACCATTGAAGTATGAAGAGAAGAGAAAACAGTTTATCATTAATCTGCTGAGCCGAGTGACTCAGGAGATTAGCACAGAGGTCATAGGCTATGCAAGACAGTAACCCTGATGAGCAGTGCCAGTGTAACTGTGGAAGGTTACCACAGTGTAACTGTGGAAGGGACTTCCTCCTAAACCTGTTGCCCCGACACAGAACCGCTTTGCTGTCCTGCAGGGGGCTCATAAGGAAACGCACTTCTGCCAGAAACAGCCGGCTGATGCACTAGTAAAGAAGATTTCTACTGGTGCTGCCAGGAAAAAGCGGCGGGTCGTAGTGGTAGGGGATTCTACTTTGGAAGGGACAGAGGCACTCGTCTGTTGGCCCGATCTGGTCTCAAAGGAGGTGTGTTGCCTACCAGGGGCATGGATCAGGGATGTGGCAGAGAGGCTGCCTGCTCTGGTAAGCCCCACGGACTATTACTCACTTCTGGTGATACATGTGGGTGCTAGGGATATAGATAGTAGTAGCCTGGGGAGCATAAAGAAGGACTACAGAGCCCTGCAAGAGGTGGTTAAAGGCTCTGGAACTCACATAGTCTTTTTGTCTATTCTCCAGGGTACAGGGGAGGACCTAAAAAAAGCTAGGAGGATTAGCCAGGTTAATAAATGGTTAAAAGGGTGGTGTCACAGTCAGGGGTTTGGGTGTCTTGAACATGGGACCCAAGTTTGTAGGCCAGGTCTAGCGGGGGCTGGTGGAGCTGGTCCGATAAAGAAGGGGAAGGGCAGTTTTGGTAGGAGGCTTGCCAGACTGGTTAAGGAGGCTTTAAACTAGATGTGTTGGGGGAGGGGGGCATCATTCCATCCCAACACTCCCAGTCAGTTGCCAGCACCTATAATAAATGCTTGGAGCAATGCAGAGATATTCCGGCTGCTCCAGCCAATGAGCCGGCTTCATTTGGAGCTCGGCTCAGATGCCTCTATACAAATGCCCGTAGCATGGGGAACAAACAAGAGGAATTAGAGATGTGTGCTCGTCTACAGGGGTATGATATTATAGGCATCACAGAAACATGGTGGGATGGCTCCTATGACTGGAGTGTTGGAATGGAAGGTTACAGACTCTTTAGAAAAGACAGGCCTGGCAGGCGCAGAGGGGGAGTTGCCCTTTATGTTAGGGATAGGCTGGAGAGTATGGAACTCTGTCTGGGGACTGGTGAGCAGTTAACAGAGAGCTTGTGGGTCAGGGTTAAAGGGAAAACAGTGATGGGAGACATTACTGTGGGGATCTGTTATAGACCACCTGATCAAGAGGAATCTGCGGATGAAGCACTCTATAGGCAGATAGGAAAAGCCTCACGCTCACAGGCCCTCATTCTCATGGGTGACTTCAACCACCCTGACATCTGTTGGAATGACGGTACGGCCCGGCACAAGCAATCCAGGAGGTTCCTCGATTGTGTGGAAGACAACTTCCTTCTGCAAGTAATAGAGGAACCGACAAGGAGAGGTGCCATGCTTGACCTCGTGCTCACCAACAGGGAAGGGCTCGTTGGAAATGTGGCACTGCAGGGCAGCCTTGGATGCAGCGACCACGAGATGGTTGAATTTGAGATCCTTAGGACAGTGAGAAGAGCGTGCAGCAAGCTCACTGCCCTAGACTTCAAAAGAGCAGACTTTGGCCTCTTCAGGAACCTGCTTAGTAAGGTTCCATGGGATATAGCCCTAGAGGGCAGGGGGGCTCAAGACTCTTGGTTGGTCTTCAAGGATCACCTGCTACAAGCTCAGGAGTGTTGCATCCCAACCAGAAGGAAGTGCAGCAGGAGGGCCAGGAGACCTCCTTGGATGGATAAGGAGCTGCTGAGGAAAATTCAAATGAAAAAAGAGTTTTAAAGAAAGTGGAAGCAAGGACAGGCGGCCTGGGAAGAGTACAAGGATGTTGTCCGGAAGCTAGGGACCAGGTTAGGAAAGCTAAGGCCCAGTTAGAATTAAACTTGGCTAGGGATATTAAGGATAACAGAAGGGATTCTACAGGTACATAGCAAATAAAAAACAGATTAGGGAGAACGTAGGCCTCCTCAGGAAGCTCTCGGGTGAACTAGCTACACAGGATTTGGAGAAGGCTGAGGTTCTGAATGACTTCTTTGCCTCGGTCTTCACTGAGAAAGGCTCTGACCGCACCACCCAAGTCTTGGAAGGCAGATGCAGGGACTGTGAGAATGGAGACCTTGGGCCCACTGTAGGAGAGGAACTGGTTCGAGACCATCTTAAAAGTCTGAACGTGCACAAGTCCATGGGTCCTGATGAAATCCATCCGCGGGTCCTGAAGGAGCTGGCAAATGAAGTTGCTAAGCCACTGGCCATCATATTTGAAAAATCATGGCAGTCAGGTGAAGTTCCCAATGACTGGAAAAAGGGAAATAGAACCCCCATTTTCAAGAAGGGGAAAATGGATGACGCGGGGAATTACAGACCAGTCAGTCTCACCTCTGTGCCTGGCAAAATCTTGGAGCAGTTTCTCCTAAGGCACATGAAAAACAACAAGGTGCTTGGTGACAGCCAGCATGGCTTCACTAAGGGGAAATCCTGCCTAACCAATTTGGTGGCCTCCTATGATGGGGCTATGGAACTGATGGACAGGGGTAGAGCAGTTGATGTCATCTACCTGGATTTGTGTAAAGCGTTCGACACTGTCCCACACGACATCCTTGTCTCTAAATTGGAGAGACATCAATTTGATGAATGGACCACTCGGTGGATAAAGAACAGGCTGGATGGCCGCACACAAAGAGTTGTGGTCAATGGCTCAATGTCCAGCTGGAGACCTGTAACGAGTGGTGTCCCTCAGGGATCGGTGTTGGGACCGGTCTTGTTTAACATCTTCGTCACTGACATGGACAGTGGGATTGAGTGAGCCCCCAGCAAGTTTTCTGATGACACCAAACTGTGTGGTTCGGTTGATACGCTGGAGGGAAGGAATGCCATCCAGAGGGACCTTGACACGCTTGTGAGGTGGGCTGATGCCAACCACATGATGTTTAACCATGCCAAGTGCAAGGTCCTACACCTGGGTCGGAGCAATCCCAGGCACAGCGACAGGCTGGGCAGAGAAGAGATTCAGAGCAGCCCTGTGGAGAAGGACTTGGGGGTGTTGGTCAATGAGAAACTTAACGTGAGCCGGCTTCAGTGTGCACTTGCAGCCCAGAGAGCCAACCATATCATGGGCTGCATCAAAAGGAGCGTGACCAGCAGGTCGAAGGAGGTGATCCTGCCCCTTTATTCTGCTCTCGTGAGACCTCACTTGGGTATTGTGTACAGTTCTGGTGTCCTCAGCATAAAAAAGGACATGGATCTGTTGGAAGAAGTCCAGAGGAGGGCCAAGAGGACGATCAGGGGACTGGAGCACCTCCCATGTGAAGATTGGCTGAGAAAGTTGGGACTGTTCAGCCTGGAGAAGAGAAGGCTGCATGGAGACCTCATAGCAGCCTTCCAGTATCTGAAGGGGGCCTATAGGGATGCTGGGGATGGACTCTTCATTAGGGACTGTAGTGATAGGACAAGGGGTAATGGGTTAAAACTTAAACAGGGGAAGTTTAGATTGGATATAAGGAGGAAATTCTTTCCTGTTAGGGTGGTGAGGCACTGGAATAGGTTGCCCAAGGAGGCTGTGAATGCTCCATCCCTGGCAGTGTTCAGGGCCAGGTTGGACGAGGCCTTGGGTGATATGGTTTAGAGTGAGGTGTCCCTGCCCATGGCAGGGGGGTTGGAACTTGATGATCTTAAGGTCCTTTCCAACCCTAACTATTCTATGATTCTATGATTCTAAGGTAAGTGTGAATGATTCAAGAGGAAGAATAGGACACTGAAGAACACTGTAGAGAGACTGTTCTCCAGTGCACTCTTGAGGCAGAGGAGCAGTGCTGCTTTGCTATAACAGCAGAAACTGATGTGAAATAACACTACCCTGTAGTCTATTTATGTTTAATGTGGAATAAGCCCTCAGTCTGTGCCCCCTCTCGCTAGCATTAAGGTAATAATTAAGGGCTTCCCTTTGCTGTATAAAGTGATAAAAACATAAAGCAGTTAATCTTCCATTTAAGTCCTTGCACATGTCATCTAAACCAGCCTAGTAAAGTGTGCTGTGTGTTTTACTTTAATCAGGGTTGTACTAGTGAATTCTTATCATATTCTTTAAAGTGACCCACGGGATGTTTGACTGCAGTCTCCTGAGGACCAGCAGCACAACATGAGGCTGGTAAATATTTAATATAGCATTTGTTTCGGGAATTAGGTTTTCAGTAGCATTATTTATGCTATAAATTTAAGTCCATGATTTTTACAGAAAGACATAAGGCTATTAAGATCAGGAAGAAAACTTGGAAATCTTAGCTTCATGCTGTAGGGTGGAGAACAAAAGTTAGGGTGTGGATTTCAGTGGCTGTTAGTGTTTGAAGTTTACTTCTGTTGGTTGTGAACCAGCTTTGGACTATGCCAGAAAGTTTTTTTTATTCCATAAGAAGTGCAGCATTTTAAGACCATTTTAAAATGAACTATGTGGAAGGAGAATAAAATGATACTGGTGTATCTTTCACAGTTTTAGGAACAACTGAATATTCATAAGTATGTTCATAAGTAATGTGGAAGCTTCAGGGCCAAAAGAAGTTCAGCTGTGAGGTCAAACAAATTTTCTCACATGGAAGATGGATATGCTATTGTGCCCACCCTTGACAGATGTCTCTGTGAGGCTGGCTCTTCCTAATAGTGCTGCATTTTCTATGTCAGGTAGTGCCCTGCAAACCCTGTCCTGGGGTACAGACTTGGGTGGAGGTCACTCTGTTAGCTGCATTTTGGCCAAGTATTTCTCATTTTCCTTAAACAGGCCAGAAGGGAGTGGCATCCTAGTGGCATCCCTAACCCTGGCTTTCAGGTGTGAAGATTCTGTGGCCAGAGTTAAGTGTGGCTGGTGGTATTAGGCAAGGAACTCCCAGCTCCTGGAAGATGAGTACCACGCCTGGTATATGAGTGCTCTCTGTGGGCCATGGCCACAGTGGCCTGAAGGTACAGCGTGAGCAGGAGCCTTCTCTGACTGCTCCTCTGAGGCAGAAACCACTTCAGTGACACGGGTAACCTGGAAAGCTGTGGCTAAGCTGCCTCTGACTTCTGTGCACGCTGGAATTGCAGCCCAGTGTCTGTTATAGATTCATCTTTACCTACTCAGAGTTCAGTTTCAGATACCAATATTGTGTAGGCAGTAGAGGAAGTGGTCAGCAGGTTTGACAGCTCCTCTGGACGAGGTATGGGTCTGGAGCAGTTCCAAGAGGCTGTCTTCTGCTTCTGCTTTTGTGTTCCTATCGCTTGCATGACCTCCAGTGAACACACATAAAGAAGGGTAAAAACTACTTAGGAGCAGCCTTTCTCCATCCCCCTTTCTTCCCAGGATGTCTGATTTACTGAACTGCTCTTCTGAAGGCCTGCCCATTTTGTTAAGAGGTCTCCCTGCCATTAAATACCTCCATGGTGTTTGAAATGCTCAGCTGACAGTCATTCTTCCCAGTGTTTCTGTTCATATGCTTCCATCCGGATTTCTTCTAGAGACATTTGCAACCATGAATAGTTTGCGTGTGGTCTTCATGCTCTGACTGGATGGTCCTGCCAAGCTCTGTTGTCCCAAATGATGTGAAGATGGAAGGAATATGACTCAAGAATGGCAACTCATCCTTGAGTCATATTCCTGTCCTGATGATACACCATGGCTATGCCATGCCCATGGTAACATCAGTAAGGCTGCAAAATCCTAGTGGGACATTTTCTCTGAATAGCTACTGGCTTGGCCTGGTGTAAATAAAAGAGCTTCTGGCTAAGGACAAACAGATGGACAGATCAGACAAGAACATACCTAATCTTTCCCAGTCTACTGCAGCCTCAGTCTTACAGTGTTTTGGCTTTGGATCTTGGCCTTTTCAAAGTTTTCCTTCCCAGTTTCCTTCAAAGGCACGTTCACATTTGCTAACCCATTTTTCTTAGCTGATAGACTCACATCCTTTTACACAAGGTTGGCTTCTCACCACCCACCGTTCTCCTTCTCTCAAATCTCTGCTTTTCAGAGTAGTGAGTAACTGTGTTCTTTGAGTGATAACGCACACCCTTTGTTATGTGCCATGCGGCTCATCTAGTCAGGTGCACAGATGTCTTAACACTGAATTTGTTTTATCCATAAATCACAGAGCATTTTACCAGATTGGGAGCTAGAAATCCTGACCACTTAGTCATTATAGAATAGGAAACTGATCAGAGAATTCAGGGACAGGGTTGGAAATAGTGTTTGTTGCAATGTGGCTCAATTCCTGCCTTAGTCTTGTCACATTATGGACATGAAAAGCCTCTGGATAATGAGGCAGGGAGCCATTCACAAGCTCATCACTGACAGAATGGGAAAGGGGTGTAAAGGGAGGTAGACATTCAGAGCCAAGGGCACAGTTGCCATTAGAGGTAGCCACCCCATCTCCTTTACTGCTTTTTAGCAGCTGTACACAAATACATGCAGAATCAGTGCTTCACCAGGTCTCCTTACCTGGGCCTGTACCATTTTACTTGCTTATCTATGTGCATGAGCAAAACCTCTTCTTTCTGCTTCTTTGTTCCACAAGGGGAGAAAATTGAACAGTCATACTAGTTGATTTTAAGAGACTAAGCATAGGTTTCCATGTTTATGAATCAGTGATCAAGAATTTTGGCCCGAGCCATTACTTCAAATGTCAACAGCAACAAGAAAAACACCTTTCCTGAAATTATATCTAGAAATACATAAATATGCGTATTACTCAGCTCTTGGCAGCCAGATGGCGCCAGATGGACTTTCAGACTTGTCTGCAACACGGAAATAAGCCTCTTTCTGTCTACTCAATCAAGGCAAGTTGGGTAGATACTGCTGCCCAGACAGAGAAACAAACACAGCAGTAAGGATGCTCTGTCTGCAGCACTGAATATTTATCATACCTGTATTGCAGTAAAAACCCACCCACAGCAAAGCCTAGATACAGGGAGGGTTAACTGTCCTTCATTCAAAGATACTTTTCAATGCCTTTTATGACTTTCAGTAGAAGATTGTAATTTCTAAACATACAGGGTGTGTGACAAAAATAAAAGGAAGAACATAAATTATGTTTAGGAAGTTAGTTATTTTTCTTTATTGTTAGCAGGAAGTTCTTATCATTTTCCCATATTACTCTAACAAATGAGGGAGAATTTTCTTCACAAGCAGTACCTAACTTTGACTCTTTTGAAATCTTACGGCTGGGCAGAGACTGAGTTACCAGATCAAGTAATTTAAATCAGTTTAGTTTTGCTGTAATCCACACTGACTTACACCATGAGCAGATATGACCCTCTAAATAATAGGATATGACTCCATGTCACTCTAGTCAGCTGCTCACACTGCAGACAAACCAAAGCCTCCACAGGGAAAAGCAGAGTCCCTGCAACACATGAGGAAAATGTGAAATGAGATGGAAAGCACCCAAAGGCAATGGAGGAAAGCAGGTGACTCACTTTGTCATGGAGAGGAAGATGGCTGGAGGAAAAATCGTGGATCGAAGTAGGGGTGGTAAACAACTACACTACATTTGCTGTGGAAAAGGTGGAGGAAGGGAAAGCTTAGTAATTCAGAATACATACCATCAACTCCGAGGACCTCACTGAGCCCCTCCAAACAGCAGAAACTTTTTCTGGAGAATCTGTTAGCCAGCTGGTTTTTAGTGGGATTTCACAGTCCTGTTTCCCATAGTTTTTGTCCTTTTCCTTTTTGCCAGTCCCCGAAAGAGCACTGTCCCCTGTGCTTCAGGGGACAAGATTTCAAGGACAGAGTTTAGAGGCTGCTTTGTGTTTGGGGTGATAACCAGGATCATGGACATACCCGGGTCCTTTCACTGCAGGTGTCTTTGGACTCAGAACCCCCTCAGAATGGACTGGCCACAAGGGAGGACTGACTGATACACTTAGTGTCAATTCTGTAAGTTTAGTAGAGTACAGCAGAAATGAAAAGTGTCTTTCTCTAGGAAATATTGTGGGGGAGGAGAGAAGAGGGAATGCTTAAAAACATTTTGTTTCATGTCAAAAAGAAAAATGTCAGCAAAAAATTATCTTGGTCAGAAAACACTGTTGAGCTAGCTTCTGGGAGTTATAGTTCAGGTACCTCTTGCTCTTATTTTTCCTTTTTGGACTGGGATCCCCAGTGAAAGCAGATTTGCAGTCCCGTTTCCCAAAGGCCAGATGTAGCACAGAAGACACAGTGCAAAAGCAAGTCTGGCCTATTGAAATTACCGACTTGAAGTAACATATATATAATTTTTCACCTAGAACATTGCATTTCTGTCCAAATTTCCTATGGATTAAGGAAGGCATTTCTGAGCTGCTCTGTAATGCACTGCAGAAAGAGATGATTTTTGAATAAGTGCAAGAATTGAAATGTTTCAACAATGTTTAGAAAAATGTTAGTTAGTTTTAGAAAAATGAATAAACCAAAACATACAAGTTACCCTCTTTGACTTCTTGGCGTATATACATACATGCATACTTACTTATATGGATGCATGTAACACATCACACAATTTGGAGTCAATGAATTCTGATTGTACTGTGCTAATTTGATTCTCTTCTTTTTGTAGAGCCTCTGAAACAGGTGTCTCAGCCTGAAGTTGTAGATGTCAGGAAAGAATCTGTCCCCATCACCTGGAACTCCCCAGCCCTGGATGGAGGCCTCCCCAGCGAAAGGTTACGTTATAGAAAAAAGGAAGAAAGGAAGCAGACTTTGTTTCCCAGTCACCAAAGAGCCAGTCCACGGTCAGACTAAGATTACTATCTGTTTTATGTAGACAGAAGGACAGTTAGATAAGCTTTGAATGAAAAGCGGAGTATTGATTAATCAAGGAATACTTATTCATGACATCCAGCAAGATACACATTTTGACATACGCTGTTTAAAGTGGAATTTTTAGCCCTCGAATAGGAATGGCTTGATACTCATGAGGGGGGCAAACACTCAGCAGCTCTGAAAGTTACATCTATGGATTTGGGTGCCTAATTTCAAACATATGTTTTTTATATTTCTCCCTATATAAATGTGACTGTTTTTACCCAACTTAGACCAGAACTGAATTAAACAAGTGACTGATTTTGTTGTATCCATGTATTGGGTTTGCATGGCAAAGTTTTGGTCGCAGAGTAGGCTATACGGCTGGTTTCTGTGAGAAGCTGATAGAAGCTTCTCTTATGTCCAATAGAGCCAATGCCAGGTGGCTCCAAGAGTGACCCGCTGCTGGCCAAGGCTGAGTGACGGTGGTAGCACCTCTGGAACAGCATAGTTAAGAAGGGTAAAAAGCTGCTGCAGAACAGCAGCCAGAGGAGAGGAGTGAGAGTATGTGAGAGAAACAACTCTGTAGACACCAAGGTCAGTGAAGGAGGGGAAGGAGGTGTTCCAGCAGGCTGGAGCAGGCTCCTGGCAGCACATGGGGACCCATAGAGAGGAGCCTGCTCTGAAGCAAGTTTGCTGGCAGGACTTGTGACCCTGAGGGGGATCCATGCTGGAGCAGTCTGTTCGTGAAGGACTGCACCCCATGGAAGGGGCTCACACTGGAGCAGTTCATGAAGACCTGTAGCCTGTGGGAAGAACCCATGTTGGAGATGTTTGTGAAGGACTGTCTCCTGTGTGAGGGACCCGATGCTGGAACAGTAGTTCAAATTGTTCTGTGATTCTATTATTCTCTGAGGAGGAAGAAGTAGCAGAGACAATATGGTGGCTGACCACAACCTCCATTCCCTGTCCCCCTGCACTGCTGAAGGGGAGGAGACAGAGTTTGGAAGTAAAGTTGAGCTTGGGAAGAAAGGGGTGCTAGAAGGTGCATTTAAGATTTGGTTTTATTACTTATTATCCTACTGTGATTTGATTGGTAATAAATTGAACTAATTTCTCCAAGTCAAGTTTGCTTTGCCCATGATGGTAATAGGTGAGTGATCTCCCTGTCCTTATCTTGACCTACAGGCCCCTGTCCATTTTAGGAGGAGGAATGATAGAGCAGCTTTGGTAGGCATCTGGTGTCCAGCCAGGGTGAACCCACCACAATTCATCAGATAGCAACCATACGATCCATGCTTAGCACAGCTTGTATAACACATGGGAGTGTTCCTGTCAGCAGCAGCATCTGACTAACAAGACTTTTTCATTTCCTTTTCTGTTAATATTTTGGTTCTTTCTTGGATTCTTTTTCTGTCTCATTCAAAGTGTTGAAATTTAATATTAAGTTACAAACAATCACACTATCTAAGAATATCCTCCTTAAGATGCCAATATTATTCATAGTAAATAATGGAAACACTTTTTAAGATAAATTATTCAAGGGGGTTTTATCCTTTTTATCTTGAGTGTGATTTTGGTGGGTTTTGGTTGTTTGGGTTTGGGTTTCTTTTATTCAGATGGAGGTTTAACCTCGACTGAAAGCTTGGCCGCTCTATTGAGTCATCATGGGAAGTCCCACTGAGCTCAGTGGAGCAAGACATGAGGATATTTTTCCTCAGCATGTATGATTACACCAGGCTATAGACCATAATTTAGTGGAAAGCAAATTATACATTTTTCCTCATATTATACGTATCAAATTTGCATCTCCTCCTTAGGGAGAGAGATACAAAAATGGTGCAGGCCACTGGAGAAGTGAAGGTTAGACCTAGTTAAGGGGCTCCCTAAACCCCTGAAATTTGTATTGTTCTCCAGCAGTCTATGAGCTGAAATCTCTTCTTGGTTTATATCAGTCCAAAAACAATTAAAAAAATAAGATTAATAACTATTGGGAACACTTTTATGGGTGATTAGAGAGTTGTGTAATTGCAACGTGTGTCTCTAGGTACCAGATTCAAAGAGGATGGTCTTCTGGAGGATACAGAATGAGCTCTGTGTGATAGCTGTGAACTGTGCAGGCCCTGGACTTCTCAGCATGCCCTCAACCTCTCATTGCAAAGGAACCCATCAGTATGTTTATCTCACTATTTAATGTCTAGTTTTCCTGGTATTTTTTACTTTTCATGTATGCCGTGACCAGGTCTATGCATGACTGAAGTCTGAGGGACAGTGGCAATCCAGCCTGGCTCAGTGTGGAGTGTATTATGTTTATAGCTTAACTAAAGGTTAAGGAAGGCCTTAATACAGTTGGCTATAAATGTAATTATAAATGCCTGGAAGTATGATATTGTCGTGGTTTAAACCCAGCCAGACAGCTTGTGCACTCACTCCCAGTGAGTGGTGCTGGGCTGGAAGCAGTCGAGGCCCACGTCCCTCCCCCCCGGGGGCTCCCCCCCTTCCTCACTCCCAGAGGGATGGGGAGGAGAATCAAAAGAATGCAACTCCCACGGGTCGAGATAAGAACAGTCCAGCAACCAATGCACAACACAAATCCCACTGATACCACCACCAACAATGATAAGAAATAATAAGAAGGGAAAAGAGTACAATACCACCCACCAAACAACGAGTCCGACCCAGCAGACCCCCTGTCCTTCCGGGTAACTCCCAGTTACCTCCTGGGCATGACGTGCTGTGGTATGGAATACCTCTTTGGTCAGTTTGGGTCAGGTGTCCTGTCTCTGCTTCCTCCCAGCTTCCCCTCCTCCCTGGCAGAGCATGAGGCTCACAAAGTCCTTGACCAAACCAAAACATCATTTTTATCAGCTCTGTTCCCAGCCCGAAAGTCAAAACACAGAACTGCACCAGCTACCAAGAAAGAGAAAAATGACTGCTACTGCTAAACCCAGGACAGATATTATTCACTTAAACCCTTTAACTATTAACATAAGAATGTGGCAAGAGATTCCCGCCTGGGGGGAACTGAGTATATGCAAACAGCAGAGATTGACTTGATAAAGACGCTCTGAGGTATAGGTACCTTTACTACTTAATAGTCATATACAGGTTGCCAAAGGCCCTAATGTATGATGAAGAAACTTTCTTATATATCTTATTATGCTCTTTCATCCATCCCCCATCACCTCTTTTAAAAAAAAAAAAAAAAGAGAAGATTCTTGCAGAATTTGTAGAAGTTGGTTACATTCTTTTATTTAAGTACTTGATTTTTAGTTCAGGAATCTTGTAATGGACACACAAGTGGGCCTTAGTAGCTGTACGTAATGTAGGGGAAAAAAAACCAAAAACCAAAACAAAACACCTGTCCCAAATGTGGAAGCTGATATAGCTAAAAAATAAGAGAATTCTATGTAATAGACAAGTGCCTTGAAGTTAAATAGTTACTTGGATGGGAAAGGGATTCAGGATCCTTTGCATCAGAAGACACACAAAAGCAGTTTAAAGCCTGAAGCTAAGATTCTTCAGCTGAAGACTTGGATTATTTCCTATTAGGCCTAGGATGATATATACTGTCCATATGCATCATATTCCTTATAACCCTGTGTGCTCATTTGAGTGTTCTGTATGAAAGCAATTAGCATCAAGTTTGTCAAGGCGTGCTGCACTGGCTGACTTTTTTGGTTTGGGGTTGGGGGTATCATTGTACTTTAGCTAAGACTTTTAGAGCAGAATATGGATTTGGATACATAACCTGCTATTCATTTGATTAAAACCACAAAAATATTTTTAAATATTCCATCTTTTCTTCTTGCATATTGTGGCGATCTACCTAGAATGCTGAAAGGTGTGGACTAAAGAGCAAAAAGCAGTATCTCTATTTTCAAAAATGACTATTAATTGGTGTTACTGTTATCTTTGGCAAATAAACTTGAAGGATATTAACAGGATCTTGCAAGCCACGAAGTAAGTTCACTAATCCAAGCAGTCTAGATAGCACCAGACCGCTTTATACAGGACTATAAGAGGGGTTTATTAAATAAGGCACTCAAAGCCATATAAGACAGGTTATAGGAAATGTACTGCAGAGCTTACCAGTCAGCTAGGAAGAGACAGAAGCAAAACTTTAATGCTAGACACCTCTCCCAAACACATGAGGACAATGTGTGGTGTTCAGTGCTCATAGAAGAGACCCTTTCCAAGCTAAAGTCAGATGCTCCTGTGTCAAATGGTGTGAGGATTTTTCTTAAATGGCCAACCTTGGAACAGAGTCATACACCTCCTTTTACCCTAAAATCTTGCAGGTTCAGCAACTTGAAATAGGAACAGCTCTGTATTCACATATGCAAGCATAGGCCTGCTTGTAGAGTTGTGTGTTACAGCTCTCTTGCTGTCACAGTGCCCCCAGGACTGCCGAAGATGGTGGATTTTTCTAACTCCAGCATTCTCTTAACCTGGCTGGAGCCAGACCATGAAGATGTGATGTCGGGATGCATACTAGAGATGTGAGCTGAGAACCCCAAGAAGTGGACAAAATGCACCAAGATATCTATCTCTAGTACCACTTATACTGTGGGAGGCTTGTAGGAGAAACAAATACTATTTCTGAACCCAAGCTTTGAATGAAGCTGGCATAGATTCATAGAATCATAGAATAGTTAGGATTGGAAAGGACCTTAAGATCATCAAGTTCCAGCCCCCTTGCCATGGGCAGGGACACCTCAAACTAAACCATATCACCCAAGGCCCCGGGAGAAGGCCTGGGAGAAGCAGTGAAGTTACAGGAAGCAATTGTAGCAATGCCACCTTCAGGTGAGACCTGCAGTGTCCATCCAGCTGAAAGTCCCATCTGCCAGCTGTTACTTCTTATTATGTAATATGTTTTGTAAAGGGTTATCAAATTAATCTTGCACAAAAGAACATTCAGCATCCCAGCTCTGCTGCTTTTTGCTGAGTTTTCAGAGGTGCTGAGGGGAGATGGAGAAAAGCACAAGCTGTGCTTGTGCCAAATTAAAATAATCTGGCATCCTTCTTGCTGAGCTGTTCTCTGAATAAGTATGTCAGGTGTAGCAGCAGTTGTTTCTTCCACCATCTGACCTTTCACATCACATCCCACATGTGATTACAGAGGTCACTGTTGGAAGATTCTCTGATTCCTGTCATGGATACTGTAGTATGGATTAGGAGGGTGGGTACTACAGCAAATAAACTATCATGTTTGAAATGGTGTTTGTTGTAAATATGGTGGTGCTGAGACCGGATTAATATTCTTTCAGGTCCTCAGTTTGAATGGGATGAATAGTAAGGTGCCAGCATGCTAAAGTTGAAATAATATTATCAGAGGTCATGCTTCAAAGACACTAGTTACATCTTGAGAATGAACGTCTCAGGACCTGCCATGAAATCCCTAGATAGCTTACTCTTTGAGGCAGCAAAGTATTTAAATCTTTACTGTTTAGTATTTAGAATTGCTTAGTTATTAATTATGAACTCAGACTTTTCTATGTCTAAAACACTTCCAAGTAACAAAGCATGGTGCTGACTGCCCTCGGTAGCTATAAAGCCAGCAAGAAAAGATTCATGAGTCACATTACCTAGTGTTGATTCCTATACAGTAAAGGGAGAATCAAGCTTGACTGAGGAAGGAAGTCTCAGAAGTCATATCCAGGTGATACTGGGAAAAGAGCTTGTGACATTGCAACTGTTATACTAAGTGCTTCTGCTGAAACAGTTTGAAGGTTTCATCTTCCAGTCTCCAGGTAGGACTCAACAGTTTGAAGAATGGCTTTACATTTCTTTACAATCTCTCTTTTAATTTTTAACTCTCTCTCTCTTTGTTTTTCTTTTATCCACACCATAGGTTTGATATGACTGTGAGGCTGAAGAGACACATGGTGGTTTGTGTTGGGACAGCACCGGGCATTTTTTGAGCATGCAGTTTATTTTTTGACCATTCAATTAATGCTAACTGAAGTGAAATCATTCTTGGGTAAACCTTGAGTGACCCAGGGGAGTCACTGGGTTATAAAGGCAATGCTTGGTGTCTCAGCACTGTCCTTTCTGAGGTACAATTTATATTAACATGGATATTGATCTCGTTTCTGTAGAGGCTAAGGGCACCTTCTGTGCCTTCCTTTTTTTTTAGGTATAGACTACTGCATGAGCTGAGGCTCTAAAGTACTTTGCAGAATCAGCCACAGTGTACAAGTTTATCTGTATCACATCAGCTGTTTTCTCTCAGCTTTCACAATGATCAAACTAATGAACTGTAGTATATGGTTTATGTGGCATCTCCTAAGCTAATCAAGCTCTGTGCATTTTGCTGAGTGCAAAACCTTTACAGCTTCAAGAAATCTCTATGACTGCTGTCCCTGAAATATTTTTCTGTCAGGCTGATAATGTACAAATAGCTCTTGTAGACACAGATATCTATTTTGTGCTCAGAGATATAGCTGGTTTCTGCTGCCTTCCAAGCCAGAAAGCAGAACACTATAGCTGTATGTTTGCCTTGGCCAGGACTTGCCACCACCACCACCAGTGATGTGGCAAAAAGAAGGCATACCAGCATGAGGGAGCACAAGAACCGTTTGCCATCCTTATTCACAAGACCAGGCAATTGGTTTCTGACTAGTACCAGATTATCCTCAAGAACAGTTATGGAGAATCCCTTTATGACTTTCAGATGCAAGTTGCAGGTACAGTATAGAACAAACTTGATCATCTTGGTTACCTCTGGGTGCTGACAGGAGGTATTCCTCTGTTGACAGAAATTACACACAATTTCCCCATCAGTACCGGAGCTGGGGAGGCTGGGTGTTTTCCTTGTGAAAAAAAAAAAAAAAGAAGAAAAAGAAGAATTATCCCAATCATACACACCCCTTATCTTAAAAAAGCCACAGGAGCAATCCAAAATATTTCCACTCAAGGGGAGAAAGACTTCCTGGTCAGAAAGGATTTTCCTTCCTCTTGTCACTGTGTTTCTTAAGTCCCATCTTCACACTAGCTCAGAGACAGTTAGCTGAGCCAAGCAGCATAGTTCAGAGCTGAGGGGTAAGGAAGGTACTTCTAGGGCTTTGGTCACTATATCCAGTGTGGAGGGAATTGGTGAAGCAGTTGTTGCTCAAGACATCACCAAATGCTGCCTTGTTTTTCATGCCATTACTTGATCAGGCAAATCCCCCTAACAGCATTAACACAACAGTGTCTGTCCCCTCAGCAGTCTGGTGACATCATTTCTATTGCAAGTGGGCCTGTGACAGCCAAGTGGAGGCAGGCTGGCTTGCTCCTGCTTAATGAGACTGCTCACTGCTCCTGCTTACTTAAGCTCCTGCTTACTGTTTGCTCTTCCTTGCTTAGAGACTCCTGTTACTGTAATGATTTGCTGGGGTTTTGGGATGTTTGCAGTGTATGTATGTTGTACTTGTCAGCTCTACAGGGAGTGCTTTTCAAAACTAACAGACTTACTTTTTCATGAGATGGGAACTGCATGCACAGGGAAAATTGGTCCTCAGATTGCTCAGGCTAGAATAAATCAAGGAAAGAAATGCTTCCATAGACACACAGGGACTATGGAAGGGAGGAGCTGAACTGAAAACATTTTAACCTCAGAAAAGTACAGAGGGAGGGTCCCAAACAGAAGAAATCAATACTTAAATATGCTCATTAATTCTTAGATTTCCCCTGACCACCCACTGATGTGCAGCTGGTTGAAGAAATCCCTAATGCCCTAATGCTGTGACGCTAAGTCATAACTCAGGGGTAGAAGATGACTAGCAGACAGATTATTGTGTCCTGAAATGTGATGTCAGTTCTGCCACATGGTTCACAGCCACAGAGGTCTACAGCAATAAGTACACTGTCACAGGCCTGCTCCCAGGGAAGAAAGACTTCTGAGTTATTGTCTGCAACGACACTGGGACACTGACCCTCTGGATTCACAGGAGCAGTGGTACATCTCCAAAGACAGAGGTAAGCATAAAAAGCCATGACAGCACTGAAGGAAGACAGGTTCTCTTGTACATAAGACTGTGGACTAGCTCAGGCTCCCTCTGTGGCCTTAGGTATATCACTGAACTGTTCTGCACCTCAGGTCCCCACCTGGGGAACAGATGCAGGAATACCTCCAGGCCTGTTCTATCCATTTGTTGTTAACCTCTTCAGGCTTCCTTTTACTGCATGCATGTGTAGCACATTACGTAGCAGTTCATACCGATGCTGTTTAAAGCTCAAAGGGCCATCTGTGTACAGAGAAGGTGATACTGGCTATCTTAACAGAATATTGGCATTGCAAGTCGTTTGTCTTGTAGCATATTTCCAGTCTGACTGGGATCTGTTTCCTAAATAAAAAGCAAACAAATCTGTCGCATGTAGGACACTGTGTGACAGTCTTTCTGGGCCAAAAGCTACAAGAAGTCCTGAGAAGTACATTAAATTAAACACTTGGAGGTCATCCCACCATGTAAACACCTCCTCTGTTCGCTACTCCCTGCTCAAGCCTAGCTAATAAGGATGTCTTATTAGCAGGACTTCCCGAAAAACCTGAAGGTGCCCCAGCTTATCAAATCTAAATGGTAAGTGAGCATCCTGCCCAGTCTGGGGGCCGAAGCAGAATGTAGTTACTCTGAGTAATGAGATCCACGCCAATTTTTTTTTTGCTTGGCCTCTCCTGTTAGTAGTATGAAACAAACTATATATTTATACATATTTTCAGACAATGTATCTATTTCTTCAGAAGCCTATCCACATGCTGCTACAAGTCTTCTAATCCCATTAAGAATAATGGGTAATACATTAAAATAACAGAATAAGTTGTACCTTAAGGTGAGCAATGAGGTGTCAAACTGCATTTAACTATCAGTCTTCCTTGATAAACATAACTAAACCATAGGTATGTTACTTCAGCTACATGTGCAGCTGAGAAAGAGCACTTTGTTTCGTGGCTATGGTTGTGTTCTTGTGTAGAGAAGTACTCCAGGCCTGAATTTTACAGTGTCTGAAATAAATTGTGTCACTTCTTTGTATGTAGGCATGTATAGGGGAGTAGTAAATGGAGGAAAGCTGGGTTGTTTGCACCTTGCAGTGCATTCCCCTGAACATTCCTTTGATAACAGCCTACCTGGTTTTAGGCAGGACAGCAGGACACAAGCAGATGAGAACTGATTTCCTATTCTTCTTTATAAATGGCAAGTCACATGGTTTATTTGCACAAACCTGAGAGATGGTAGAAAAGCTCTGAAGGGTAAGAAGGAGATAAATTATTTTCTGAGAATGAGGTCTCATAGGAGAATTTTGCTATACATTGCTATATTTAGGATCCAGGGACTTACCTGAAGGGTCTTCATGCCAGTGCAAAAGTTGGTAATAAAGACTTCAAGAAATGTGTTTAAACAGGCCAAAAGTGGAAATTTTGTAGTGGACACTAGAAATTAAATTGCACACTCACTTCCCCTTGATACCCTCAGGGCATTCTGTAGACTATTAGTGCCTCAGAGAGACACCAGCAGAGTAATATCCCTTCCTTTACAAGATCACCTGCTTTGGTTTGTAATTGGGTGTAATTTAATCATGCATTTCTAAAGTGCCTTGGGAGCCAAATATCCAAAAGCACTTTACAATTTAAAGGCATTAGTGAGAGAAGGCATCAAGATATCCCCATGGAGCAAAACCATGATACCTTATTTACAGACCAAGAAACAACAAAATTAATTGCTTGCTTACAGTTGCATAGATTGATGGGAGAATGAGAATTTTGATTCCTTCTGCTCTTGCTTTCAGTTTGTATTTGTTTACACGTTAATATAGGTATGCTGGTCAGATGCTAACAGTAATGTGGTGTACTGTTTGTTCTTCCCTGAATGAAATTGTTTCCCTGAGTTTTCCCTGGTGGCAAAAAAGGCCCAGGTCATGAAATGTCATGCCCAAGCTCTTTGGATTTGTACTTGTGCAGAAGACTCTGTCTTGATGGTGCTGGCTCTGTGTTTGCGTGTGCAACAGACAGTGCAGTGCGAAGCATCCCACAGTGACTCCAACCTCAGCAGAGTGTTTTGGCTTCAAGATGGAGTATTCCAGGAAGATACCTGCTTCCTTGTTTCATTGTCCCATTGAAGAATCACAGCATGAGTTGTGGCAATGACTGTGCATGAGCTGTGCTTTCATCAGCAACCCCTACCCAACAATGACTGTGTACAAGTACAATATTAGCATCACATCCAAGACTAAGTTGTGGTTCAAGTCAACAAGTAGTATTGTCTGCTTATCATCCCTACAACTTGCAGCTGCAAGCTGATCATCTGTGGTAAATTAGTTTTGCAGCCACTGTGATTTTTTGGGTGTGATTCTCTCCAGGTTGAGTTAACAATAGATTTCATGTCTTAGTATAATTTACACCCTGCAGCTTTCCAGGGCGAGTATGCTTACTGGGACTGGCACTGGGGATCACACTTCCCTGAACCAGTATGGCTCTGGTCTTTGTCCACAGAGGAAGATTGCTCAGTTTGTAAGTACTGCAGCTTCATACCAAAAACACAGCCTAGTTCTGACTTTTCCTTCCTCTGAAGTTACTGTATTTTGTCTTCAGCTGCTTGAAAGCAGTAGTAGGTCTCTTAATATGGTCTCATGAATTGCCTAGATAGCTCAAAAGCAAGTGTGGGCATTTCTCAGTTCCTTATCAGCCTGCCTCTGCACATGTGGCATACTTAGCACCTCCAAGCAGTCAGCTGATAACATTCTAACAGCAGCTTTCTCCTTTTTTACCACAGACACTGCACTGGGTAAAGCAAGTAAAAAATTGTAAGACACAAAATGGAAGAAAATAAGACACTCCATATGCCACTCTCCCTCCCTATTTCTTTCGATGTCGGAAGCTACCACCTGCTGAAACTTTAAATCAGGTTGTAACACTTTGGTTCCAGCTGTCTCAAATTGGTCCTGTAAGACTGTACACTTCCAGCTGCATAGGGTGAGGTTTTAGTGCCAGTAACTCATGTCTTCATGCCACCATGCCCAAACATAGACCTTGCAGAGTGGTTTTACAGCAGTGCCGCCAAACAGCTGTGTCCTGTGATTTTCATCAGGCCCTGCTTAGCTCACTCTGCTTATGATTAGCTAGGGAGCATTCAAGGTTAAGCATTTGAGAGCAAGAATTATCCATCATTTGTCTATCATGACACTGGAATGTTTTCTCACTTCTCCCTTTCTAGAGAAAGGCCCTGGTGCCTCAGGTGGTCTCTTAAAGGGAACTAGAGAGAGACACTCTCGTGAAATGAAACTGTGAAATAAAACTAATACAGCACCAATAATGAGGGCTATATTTGGAAAGATCTTTTATGGTTATTTTTGTCTATGATCATTGCTTCTGGACAGCCTGCTGACAGCTGCTGAGTCCTCCCCCTTCCTAGGTTTAGTTCTCTGCTAATGCTGAAGGAGCTCACTGGGGGTCAGTGGAGGGAAAGGATATGCACGCTTGGTTTCCTGCTCTGATTTTTGAAGCAAACTTTTCTGTCTTTGTGTGCAGGGTACATGCAGCACACGTCTTTCACTGAAGCCAGCCACTAAAAGACTGAAAGCAATTATTTACCATTTTTTTAAGAATTCCTGGTGTTATTTGGTCTCTCACTTCCCACACTCCCTGATACACTCCTCCCTGAAGCCACAGTTTCAAGCTACAGCTGGGGGACAGCTTCCTTGTCCCTAATCAGTGGGAGCTTTCCCTGGTCTAGCGTTGCTGCCAGCCAGACTGAAGCAAGAAGAACCCTGGCAGCACTGCTTATCTAGGTTCAGGGAGGGCAGGCAGGCCTGAGGGGCGCAAGAACAGCTTGCTTTCCCCTAGATCTGATTGTTCATAAGTCTTACCTTCTGCCTTCCTACACAGAGCTTGTTGCAGTAACACTCTTACAATAGGAACATACCTCTTCAAAGGTATTTAAAGCAGGCTGTTTACAAGCAGAGTCTTGTGAAAGCACTGTGTGGGTGAGATGCCAATTTATATTCAGATTCTTTAATGGGAGCCTATTTTTGAGGCCTCCTGAGGCTCCTCTTTACCTTGACTTGGGAGGGCCTATCTGCTGGTAGGGCTATTTACAGCTGAGTGAGGTGGGAAAGCAGGGGTTACAGTAAGAGACTGTAAAACTGACTTTAGGAGATAGCTTAATTGAGCTTAACTGCAGGTTTATTTTAGATCTCAGGAACTATGTTCTTGCTGATTTTAGTTCTGGAAGAGGAACAACTACTGCCTGGAGCCAGGTGCTAAAAGACATCATACCAAATGTCAAAGTGGTATTTGTTAGGCTCCTTCAGATCAGGACTTGCTAAGACTTTCGTTAGGGACTGTTTTCTAAGAGACTTGCAATGGCATTTACTTGGTTACAGGCTTTCATAAGGGAAAGGAGTAAGAAGCGATCTAAGGGATGGGCAAATCTATCAATTTGCATAGTTGTGCAGGAGTCTCAGTTGCTGATATCTATGCTGATTCCATGGGAGTTAAACCTCTCTAATGCCTGTCTCTGTTCATCTGAATGTATTGTGATCCTGACTGGACGCCAGGTGCCCATCAAAGCTGCTCTATCGTTCTTCCTCCTCAACTGGACAGGAGAGAGAAAACATAACAAAAGGCTTTGTGGGTGGAGGTAAGGACAGGGAGAGAGTATTCACCAATTATTGTCATGGGCAAAACAGACTCAAGTTGGTGAAATTAGTTTATTACTAATCAAATCAGAGTAGGGTAATGAGAAGTAAAACCCAATCTTAAATACACCTTCCCCCATCCCTCCCTTCTTCCCAGGCTCAACTTTACTCACAAATTCTCTACCTCCTCCCTGCAGCAGTAGAGGGGGACAAGGAATGAGGGTTGTGGTCAGTTTACCACATGTTATCTCTTCTGAATCTTCCTCCTCAGGAGAACTCCACACACTCTTCCCCTGCTCCAGCATGGGGTCCCTCCCACAGGAGACGGTCCTCCACAAACACCTCCAGCGTGGGTCCTTCCCACAGGCTACATTAACTGCTCCAGCGTGGGTCCCTTCCATGGGGTGCAGTCCTTCAGGAACAAACTGCTCCAATGTGGGTCCCCCATGGGGTCACAAGTCCTGCCAGAAAACCTGCTCCAGAGCAGGCTCCTCTCTCCATTGGCCACAGATCCTGCCAGGAGCCTGCTCCGGCACAGGCTTCCGACAAGGTCACAACGTCCTTCATGGAGCTTGGGGTCCTCCATGGGCTGCAGATGGAGATCTGCTCCACCACAGATCTCCAAGAGCTGCAGGGCACAGCCTGCCTCCCCATGGTCTGTACCATGGGCTGCAGGGGAATCTCTGCTCCAGTGCCTGGTGCATCTCCTCACCTCCTTCGGCACTGACCTTGGTGTTTGCAGGGCTGTTTCTCTCACGTATTCTCACTCCTGTCTTCAGCTGCAGTTGCCCAATTGCACAGCAACTTTTTCCTCTTCTTAGACATGTTATTATATCAGTGACCACCACTGCTGATGAGGTCAGCCTTGACCAGTGACAGGTCGACCTTGGAGCCAGCTAGCATTGGCTGTGTTGGACACAGGGGAAGCTTCCAACAGCTTCTCAACAGAAGCCACACCTGTAGCCCCCCCACTCCCAAAACCTTGCCACACAAACCTAATACAGGTATGCTCTTCTGTCTTCTTTAAGGAAAGACACCTACATTCTTCTGCTTACCCATGTTTTCAATTTTAACCCTTTTCTTAATATCCTCAAAACCAAATGGGGCATTGCTCCACCTCCGTGACACACACCAGCATATTTCCTGTTGTTGAAGCTCAGAAGGGGTGAATGCAATTTTACTTAGGCTGCGAAGTGGCAGGCTGCAGAGAACACAAAGCCTGTGAGACCTAAAGTGAATTATTAGGAAGAGTGGTGAACTGAACAAAGAGAAATGAGAACAAAAATGAGAACTCCCTAAATGTAGCCCTTCACTTCCTACAAAAAGTGCAGCCAGTCAGCTTGTTTCTTTATATAGTGGAAAGCTTTATTAAGCTTTATACAGTTTTTTAGTCAGAACTTTGTGAGACTTGGACTCAAAACATAGCTTTGCTTGCAGTAAACTATGGTATTTTAATTTTTCCTTTTTTTTTTCTTTTTTTTTTCTTAAAAATAGGGTGATAAAAGCCTCCTGGACACAGTGACAGAAAGTTTGCAGAAGACAAAACACAAGATATAATTAGTGGAACTTGCTCCTCCTGGTCCAGCATGCAGAGCAACATTGCTGTGGCTGTGTAGTTTGTTTGTGTGGCTCAAAATGCAACTGCCCTTGGCTTTTGTAATAGTCAGTTAAACCAAGTGGCAGAGTGGGGCTTCTGCTCAGCAGGGATGCTAATATTTCCATCTTACTTCCCTCTGAGTGGTTTCAGACAGCAGGGTATGTGTTATATTTCTAATACCATCTGATAATGTATCTTAATGGTAATAAAAGGAGCCAAAGATTGCAGTTTTCAATGTATGTTTGCTTCTTCACTGGTCAATGAGAATCCTGCTTCTGAGCTCAAGAGGAGCCTTGGGTTCTGTCTCCATGTCTCCAGATAGCTTAGTAGGACCTCCATGATGATCTAGGCTTCATTACATCAGATTGTATATAAACACAGAGTAAGCCACAAATCTGAAGTATTTAAATCCTTGCAATATGAAGAAGGTAAATACAGCCTTCAGCTTTGCAAATGAGGGGATCACTTTCTCAAAAAGCTGGCTGTAGAAAATAAAACTTGAGATCCAAAAGAATCCAGGAACCTCCATGCTGGTGGCCAAGACTAGATAAGGAATTACAGAACATCTGAACTACTGTAGGATCAACAGATTGAGAGATATATAAATATGCATTTATACACATTGGTGCTGGTTCTTCTAGTGAATCCTTCCAGGAGCCAGTTGTGGGATAAAAGCATAGCAGTGGCCAGCCACAGACACATGCTCCGTCTGAGA